TGTGGGTGTGGCTGCGGATACTGCAATCTACTAGCAGCCACACCTACGTCCTCACCTGTGCTCGTGTCTTCATCACTTGTATCCGTGTCTTCGCCTCTTGAGCGTCTTGCAGCCTGTTCTTGATCCTGCTATTTCACACGTCTCTCCAATTCTTCTATTTTTTATTGGCCTGTTCTTCATGCTCTCTAAGTTGAACATTCATCATAGCGATCTTTTCATTCAAGGCTTTCTGATCACGTTCAAGTGCATCTTATTTTTCCTTGAATTGAGTACGTATCTTTTTAATTTTGTCCGATTCAAGATCAATATTTTCATGTTCTGTTTGTTTACCTGAATGGTGTGAGGTGATCAATTGCATAAGCTTGGGACGTGCATCTTTCATCTTTTCTTTTGCTTGTGCATCCTTGGGATCGATACGATCGGTGAAAACAAAATCGGTTGACGGAAGTTGTCGTGGTGCGAGAGCTTCTTCGAGAGTAACCATAAATTTGGCATCATAGCCTGCGTCTCGATCTGGCTCTAAATTGTTGAGGACGAACGCAATCGAATCTAAAGAGAAAACAAGCTTGTCGTTCATTTTTTCCACTTTGTTAAGGTGCGCCCCTCAGAAAAAAGTTCCGTCGTTTTTGATCGGATCAATTTGAAACTTTTTGTGGTGATACATCACACCCACATTATATGGTGAATACCACATTTCAGCCAACCAAAGTCCATCGTTGAATTTTAAAAAGTCATACAAATTCAAAGAGCAAGGGTCGCACCAAATCTTTCGACTCCCTCAAATTTCGTGTGTTTGGGTGTGGGTGTGGGTTTGGCTGTGGGTGAGAGTGAGGGTGTTGGTGGGTGCATGGCCCGGAAACACTCACACTCACACCCACATTCATCCACACCCACATCTACATACACACCCACACCCACCCACCCACATCCACCCTCAGTTTTTGATGCTGAATCAGAAGAAAAAACTTTCAAAGCTATAGTAAATTTTTTTAAAACCCTATTGTCAAAATCCGAGTAGAAAACCTGTTTTTTTGAAACTACCGGTTTTTGCAGTATTTTTCAATTTTTGGCGCGAAGATCACTTTTTTTTAAATGAACTATACATATTCGGATTCAGCGCATAAAACTGCATCGGATGACGTATAAAAATCGCAAAAATAAATTTGCTTGAATTTTGCGTTGCGGGAACCTTACACAAACAGAAATGCCAAACTTTCAAAGCATCTATGTGATTTCAACGTTGCTATAGAGAAGCCTTGTATATGTCTATAAGTGAAGATGGAGAAAGTTTTTTTTTCTACTGTTTATGCAGCTCGCTCTTTTCGCTTTTTCTTTCCCCTGCAGTATAAAAAATCGTCGCAAATGTGAGAGACATACAGTTGCAGCTCAATACGGCAATAATAGGTAAGCGAAATAGAAACATACAGTTCTGAACAAAAGTATCTGTCCCGCTACCAAGAAATGCTAATATTTGCTCAAGATTTCGAGCTGATATTTTTGATGCATATAGGATACGTTGAATTATGATCGCAAGCACCGTATCAACATCCATCGGCTGAGATATGCTAAAATTATGATGCGAACAATATTGTGTTCAACTTGTAACCACCAGGCCTCGAAATCGGGCCACTTTTTCGTGGCCCAGCCCGCCCGATCTATTGCGCCGAGCTGATATGGCCCGCCCAGCCCAAAAGGTCGGGCGCTTCAACCTGGCCCGGCCCGCCCGATCGATTGGGCCAAGTTGATAAGCCCCGCCCGACCCAAAAGGTTGGGCTCTTCAAGGTGGCCCGGGCCACGCTGGGCCAGACGGCCCATTTCGTGGTCTGGTAACCACCATATCTCAGCCGTTGTAGCACCTATACTTTGCTCTACGATGTGGGAATGTGTATGAAGTTGCGAGTGTGGGTAGGTGTGGAGTGTACTTAGGGGTGATCAAAAGTTCTGAGTCCTACTTTTAAAATTTTATAATATGGTTAATATCGAAAGTTTTCTTGCGGAAATATGTAGTAAATGCTTCGTCTACAATAATGTAGCGAGAAACTCTATTTTGGATCTAAATCTCAGATTCCTTTAGATGAAATCTATCACACTTACCACCAGACCTGACGAGGAAATCGTCCCAGGTGTACATGTTCTTTAGTCTCGGCTCATGGATTAGTCCATAGGGAGCATCGAAGTGGTACACAACCTAGACGGGTTTCGGCCGACAGTTCTATCTTGAAGAGTCATGACGATTTTCCATTTATGTGATTTTTCGAGTTTTTTTAAAAAAATTTGAAAAGTAGAAAACTGTATGCTCAATCTTGAGGGTGGGTAGGGTTTCTTTTCTCTTTATTCACACCCACACCCACACCCTCAAGATTGTCCATTTGTCCTCCTGGCTACGCAACAGGTGAGTATTTACGATTCCATAGAAATTCAAACAGTTGAACAATAACTGTCCAGTGATCGTTATTTTCATTCTGCTGATATGACTGTTAAAAATAATGTTCTGCATATTCTGAAAGATTTTTTTATGGGCTTTAATTGTAGATTTTTGAAAACAAATTCAAGCCCATGGGCGATACGAACTTTGTAGCCGATCCAGCAACAGGACGAACTTATTGCATCGGAGGCTGCTTATTCAATGGCAATCCATCAGATCTTCCGAAGTTTGGAGCTTCAAACTTTCTATCAGATAAAAAACTGCCTAAAACAGTTGATCTAAGAACACATATGACCAAAATTGAAGATCAAGGGCAATGTAACTCTTGGTAAGTGTTTCGAAGGATTTTTGATCAAAGTTCAGTAATATCATTGGAAATCGGTGAGCTTTGTTTCTTAATACTACAATTTAGACACAGTAGTATTTTTAATCCGTTAAAAGCTGATTTTTAACTTGTCTCTCTTTCTATTTTAGTGTTGGCAATGCATTAGCAGGTAAATTCTTTGGATGATTATCTATGAACATTTCACGTACATCACTATAGGTGCATATGAGTTCTTAATAAAGAAACGTACTGGCAAAACGGTCGATGTTAGTCGTCTATTTATTTATTACAACAGCCGTCGTGAAGACGGACTTCAAGAGTACAATATGGCAGATCAGGGTACTTCTATTCGAAGTGCCATTGAAGCCTTGAAAAAGCAAGGTTGCTGCAAGGAAAATTTGTATAAATATGATGTTAAAGCCGTTAACGCCAAGCCGTCAAGTCACTGTTATGAAGAAGCTAGAAAATATCCTATAACAGACGCTATGAGCTTGCGATTAGATTTAAATGAAATGAAAACATGTCTGGCTGAAGGATATCCATTTGCATTTGGTCTTTATGTATATCAATCGTTTATGCAATTCGCAACCCTTAATAAAGGATACATACCAATGCCAAAATCACATGAAATTTCGCATGGTGGGCATGCGATGCTGGCGGCGGGATACAGTGATGAAAAACAATGTTTCATAGTTAGAAACTCATTTGGTGAGGATTGGGTGAGTCTAGCTTCAGTTTCGGAGGTTTTTTAAGTGTTTATCAGTACTCAATTACTTTGAATATAAATATCTAACGAATATAGATCATTTCTATTGTCCATTTCAGAGTTAAATCACCGTCGGTATTTTTGAATGACTTTCCCAAGAATTCTTAGAAAAGTCTTTCCATAGATAGATCGACGCGTCTTCACCTGCTCCTTCTAATGGTGAAAACTGGAGGCCTATCTCACTCTCTGAAAAACTGATTCAAAAAATACCCACAGCCATTTATCTTTGAAGTGGGCAATACTGAATATAATCTGTAGAACATTTGTAGTTGTTATCGACTGGTTTATTATTTCTACTGTACCTTTTTTTCCATAACTTATGACTATCATTCAAAACCGTACGCACCATCAGTTTCCTGAACTTGGAATCGGTCAATTGCGATAGAAATCTGTAACCATTATCCACTACCTGTTCCGTGGGTGTGTGGGTTTGGGTGTGGGTGTGAGTATATTAAAGATGAATACACACCCTCACCCAGGCTCACCCACACCCACACCCTCAAGATGCTCTTTAGAATAATTTAGAAATTTAGAATGGATGGTTAAACTAATATGCGTTGCAGAACAAAAGCTACAAAGTGAAAACTTCTGTCAGCGAAGAAGTTTCACATTTCAGTTTATGTCAGAAGACATTTATTTTTTTCTCAGAATCAGATAATCGTTATTTTGCTTTCTAGGGTGACAAGGGCTACTGTTACATCCCGTATGCTTATATGTGTGATTCGCGAAAATGCGTTGATCTACATGCCGTAAAACTTATCGCAGATGGATCTTGTCGTCGTCAAAAGGATAAAGAGTCTTGGGAAAAAAAACATTCGATTGACCACGCAACGATCCCTGTTTCATCAGATATTTGGGATGATGTAGTCGATTATGAAAGGTTTTGGAATTTTGACGATCCATTTGAATATATCAATAAAAAATGGCACGACACACTGGTGCCTCATTTTCACCACGATGTGGCACACCCAAAGCACTTTAGCTCTTATCATTCGAAAATAATATCAAGGAAAAATAATTATCCAATGCGATATATCCTTTGGATCGATAAGCAGAATGCTGATGCTGATGCAATAGTGCCACATTTAACACATGATAATAGTCTTCAGATCGATTTCTATGATTCATTATCTGCAGCAGAAAAGCATCTGTTGAATTATATCAATCAGATCAGATCATCATCAACATTTCAAATTATTTGTCATGGTCATTATGAGCAAGAAAAGAAAAATCCGTTGAATTTATTAGAATTTTTGAACCATCATGATCTACAACATATTCCTGTTCTTGCCTTCACACGCAACACATCAGCTCTACAGCATCGTTTGCAAATGAATGCACCATCAATGGGTATACATGATTGGACACAGCGACTAACAATCATCGATAGATCTGAAGACTTGACACGAAAATGCAAAGAGAACATGAAAAAGTAGTATGGTCGCAGTCATCATTTCAAAACGAACTCGAATATCAATAAATTGAATTATGACGAACCCGAGAAACGATAACTAATCTTTATTTAGTAAAATTTTTACTAACTTTATCATTCTTTCTTTTATATATTTAAAATGCGAAACAACCCAAATATATATAGTTTTCGGGCTCTTCTCTTTGATTATCCACACTCGCACACCTACTCAGACCCACACCCACACCCACACCCACACCCACCCTCAAGATATTTTACTTTGGTGTGCGAGGCCGGCTGATATCTGAGAACGCATACTCTATTTCAAATCACACAACCCGCCAAGGGCTCTAATACGTGTCGTATTTTATTCTTTTCCTGTATGAGTGTTTTAGAAAAACCGAGACACCATTTGAGTGCAGTTTAGTTATTTTTGATACACCGACCGTCGCGATCATATTCAGCAGCAAGACGATCAAGACGATCATCAAGACCAGCATCATTAAGAAGACGACGATCAGCAGCATCAGCAAGATCAGCAAGAGCAGCATCACGAAGATCACGAAGAGCAGCAAGACGATCATGACGACGACGAAGACCACCAAGAGCATCACGAGTACGAGCACGAGTACTACGAAGATCACGAAGATAATCAAGATCATCAAGATCATCATCAAGATCCTCATCACGAGCAGCAAGATCATCATCATCATCAGCAGCAGCATCATAGGCATCCTTAGTTCGATTTGACGTTGAGTTGTTTTGTAGATGAGATTGGTCTGCATCTAGAAGAAATGCAAATGGGGCATGAATGGAAATAGTGTTTTCAGATGTGCTTTTCGGTTAGAGTACGCGGACATAATGATTATAGGCTGCAGCGGGAACGTATGTGAGAATAAGCTTTTTGCGGATGGTTCTTGATATATGTATGTCACGGTGCGATAGAAATATCCGGTCGGCAGAAGGCACCTAAATCCTGTTTTACAACAACGTAGAAAAAGGCAGAAGTCTGTGAAGGCAATGAGAGTCTTCTTGAGCGGTGAGCGTTTCTGCTGATTAGAGGTGTCTGGCGAAATGTCTGTCAGGGAGGGCAAGAGAGGTTATCTCCATTGAGAATTCAGTGGGTTCATTGTGACGGTGCTAGTATTGATACTTTCTCTGCTAAGTTGTCGAATGGAGGCAGGGTTGTAGGGACTTTGTTTGTCGGCCGAGGCTCGGTGCTGAATCGCTGCGTAGAGGAACTAGAAATCAGCATTGAAATTCGAAAAGAGTTCAATGTCCTTGAAAATGTTTCTATGTGTTGTCTTTGTGATTTAGAGATCATCATGAGGAAATGTTTTTTGAGCACGATCACAGCCCGCCACAGTTGGAACAGTGAATACAGGCAAGTCACGAGAGTTTTTCCGTTGTAAAGTGTCACCTTTCTATTTCCGCTAGGCTGACCTTGACTGTAGTATTATTAGCGTGTGGGAAAGGAATTTGGACGTAAATACTAAAATCAACACGATCGTAATTACGACCCTTGCTAGACATGACGATCTCTATCGTCGTGGAATACTCTCAGTCGCATTTAAAAATAGTTTTCTTTCACTGTTGACGGAAAACGACTGAATTTCCTCCATTCTGTCTTGGCATTGATCTACGGAAGGCCAAGAACTCCATCTCTTAGAGGCTGTAACACATTGTTTTGTCAAGGGAGTAACACTATGATTTTAGATAACATTCGTTAGAGTTCTACATCAGGCTAAAACACATCAAAATCAGGATCTATTCATGCCAAATAATGACGATTATGGGAACCCTTTAGACGATGAACTTAGAAAATGTTCGATAACTGACGCTTCTTTTGTGGAAACAACGAAAGCAATCAATGATTGAAAAATGAAACGCTTTCTTCAAGCATGTTGCACGCTTCGTTAAAGCTCCACAAAACTGTTCATGTGAAAGATTCCACAAGATCAACTGTTGGATTAAACTTCGCTGAAAGCTGTTCAAAAAATGTGTACAATGATCGCATCTTTTACACTTTTTGCATGGAGATAATATGCTTTTTCCAGACCAGATTCAGCTGTTTGCCCTCAGTGTTATGATGTAAAATGTTTGGAAATATACTTATTTAACGCAGCCTGAGAAAGCTGCACGAATGGAGTACCTTTCGAAGCACTCTAGTCAATGAAAATAATAAAAAAGACTAGCTGTATCGAAAAGTAGGATATTTTCTATCCTAAGAAAATACGGTTCTTCTAAGGCTTCGTCAGATTTTCCGAATTGTTATGTGCACTGATCATCACAAGGAATTAGATTGCAGTCTTGAGGGTGTGGGTGTGGGCTAAGTGAAGAGTATTATCCTTCCACACCCACACCCTCAAGATGCCTCCGAGGATATGTCAGACATAAACATGACCGAACAAATGAGTATTCGATGCGCTCATACGATATCACTACAATGCCTACACTATCTAGCCGATACTCGGGCAAACACTGAAAGAGAGTCTCCACTTACTAGACCAGCGTTGTCGAAGTTCCAGATATATCAGATGTTGTTTATTCTTGCGATCGAAGTCCACGCGAAGCACACGAAAGCAAACGCCTGGTGTGACGAGCTCTTCTTCTTCATCAGGATACTCAGAGAATGGAGTTAAATCGGCGATGAAAGCCATCTGCACTTGCATGATAAGCAATGCATTACCAAAGGCTTGTGCTTTCGCACGACTGCGACTGCAAGACGAAAAGCCTTGAAAAGAGCCATATTCACCCTGTTTCTTGGTCATTTCTTCATAATTCGTGATCTGCTCCGGTGTTAGATTGGCGCCACGGTAGAGTTCGATGTTTACTTTCAATCTTGTGTTCAATGGATCATCCCACAGCAACAGGCAGAACGGACCCAGTGTTGGTACTTTACTTCGCCAGATCTGTTCATCTTCTTTGCTGCCCACTAATCTCATTGTTGCATTCAAAGTCTTGTAAAGAAAATTTTCCAGTGAGTACAAATAGGCACAGCACTGCCACACTTCTTCCATCGAGCTGTTCTTCTTTTGCCGAAGTAAATCGGCCAGTTCATTAGCTTCACACTGCTTTCCGATGTGTTTTCCTTCTGTAATGATACCTTGCGCAGCTTTCTCGACAATGACAGGTATAAGCTCTGGCTTTTTCGAAGGAAGTTCTTCTGGTTGCAGACCCAAGTGTCGTCTGACTTCTATGATGAATGGTGAGACGAAACCGTATTGTCCACCGACTGAGCGACTGGAAGCAACGGGTAGATCCATGAAGCGTGCTTCTCTCAGGTGCTTGTCTTCTCTTTTGCGCACCACTCTTTTCACAGGTCTCTGCTTATTCTGATCGTTGTTGGCTATCTGAATCTTTTTGCTGAAATTAATATAAAAACCATCCAGCATTGCTCCTTGCTGTTTGTTAGAAAATGCCTTTTCGATAATAAGATTCTCTACATCAGAATAGTGACTCCATATTGCTGGTTCACTTTCTGACCATGGATTGGGATTGGACTGCCACATCCATTCGACCGTCTTGAGAGAGTTCGATGTCGTTGTCGCTGCAGACTTCATTAGAGATCACTGATTTTTTTCTGCTAGTAATGGTGACAGGTGCGTCAGAACATGTATCGATAATCTGAAAGTATCACAGTATTGTAGAAGAAAGACTTCGAGCAGATCGTCTCGTGAAAATGACTTAGATTAGCAGCATAGATTGATGGTTGGTAAAGCCAATTTCAGTCTGTATGTTTCAGAAACTCTTGTATAAGCTAAAAATATTTTCACGTTCTGAGAGAGAGAGAGAGTCGTCTAGATAAAACTGGAAAGGCAATAGATCGCACCTGTGCGCATTCGTATAGTTTCACACCGTCCCTTTCCAGCAGCTCATTAACAGCAAGCAGGTCCTCCATTCAGAAAAGGACTTGTAAAATAATGGTGGGACAGGAATTATAAGATTTCAAAGGAAGTATGTTAGTCATGTATCTCCCGCCATGAACTCAGTGAGAAGAACGGTAAAGGACCTTGAAAGTCAACAAAACCAAGTCTATTAAAAACTTATCTGTCGTGTACCACCTTGGGCTTATAGGTGTAGGTGTGACGCAGAAGTAACCGACATCGGCATGCTCGCTCACATTCAACATCCATTCTGCAAACCACAGAATTCACTTAGAGAATTGCCGTCGCCGACAAGCCTCGAACCCACACCAGAAAGCTTATCCAAAAACTCTCTCTTCGTTTCCGAATGGTCTTATTGCGGCTCGCAGTTCAGAGCATTTTAAAATTGACGAGAACTCAGAATTTCTTCCGCAAAAATCACAAACTGTACTTACAGCTGGATTCAGCAGCACTGAAATGTAAAAGACGATTGGAGAAATAATACTTCGCAGTTTCTTCGCCTATTTATACAGATGGAAACCATTGTAGTTCAGATGTTTAATTTTCACAGCATTGACAGAGAGGCGCACAAAGTTTCTCAGTGAATAAACAAGTTTCAAAGCGTGCAATTTAAAAATTGCTTTGCTTTTTTTCTTTGTGCGAAATTATCTCTCTATTAAGGGCAAGTGCGGGTATGGCTAGAGCGTGAGGACTAATAGACTACGAGAGCACAATCACCTCCACCCACACCCACTCCCACCCTTACCCAACCCAACCGCTGTGTCTGATGGCTGCATAAATGCTGCGAAGAAAAAAAGAATTCGTTTGAGTTTGTTTGGGTCGCTAAGCAAACGAGAGAAAAAGAAAAACAGCAGAAGAAATAACAACAATTACAGTTCTGCATTAACGTGTTTTGAAAGAGAATCCTTTGCAATTTCTCCATGTTGGCAACAAACAAAAAAACCCATTTTGATGAGTAATAAAAACGGATGGAATTTTGGCGTTTCGATGAGGTCCTTCGTACGAGACCCAGGGTGTGGGTGTGGGCGTGGGTGGGTGTGGGCGTGGGTGGGTGTGGGCGTGGGTGGGTGTGGGTCGGTGATGGTTTGGTTATAGCTGTCACTTCTTCTCTCACACCCACATCCACACCCACAGCCTCAAGAGGTGAACATAATATTTCCATTCACAACCACATCCATCACACTCACACCCACCCACATCCCACAACCAACAACCCATAGCCTTCTTTCATTTCTGCTCTGCAACTGAGTTTTTTCTCATTGTGTTCGTTTGTGTCCGCTCTTGAAACATCATTTTCTGCCATTTCTGCTCTGCACTTGAGGTTTTCTCACTGTTTTTGTTTGTGCTTGTTCTTTGCAATCGACGCACTTCTCACACAACTAGTGCGCATTTGTCGCATATATATAAATAGAATTCTCAGAGTTTCATTCGATCTTCATTGGGACAGAACGGTGAGTATCGTTTAACATGTATTACTCTTTCTATTTATTGGGTGCGTGCTTTTCTGTGAGTTGTTTGTGGAGATCAGCCTGTAATACAAGCTACTTCTCACAAACAAATCATATTTACTCCACGAAAGTCGAGGATCAGAACTTATCGCAAAAAGAACTTGTAGCTTGTGTTCAAATGCTTTTCGCTGAGTTGCAGATCCAGGTGTGGATGTGTATCACCGACGAGAATGAGTTCATATAAAACTGCCAAAGTTGAAGTGATAGTTGGGCGATTTTATGTTAAAATTTTCGTCAGATGAGATTTCGTTTGCACAGTTTTGTATTCTATCATGTACACGCATTGTTTCGGCTTTGATAATGATTGGATTCCCCCTAATAACGCCGAAAGTAAAAACGTCGAAAATAAAAATGTCAAATAGTGAAAAATCAGGATGTGGGTGTGAGTAAGGATGCGAGTAGCAGAGTAAGGTTACTGTAAT